CGGCCCCGGCCCCGGCCCGCCGGGCGAGACTGCGCCCCCGGGGCACCCGGGCACTGACCGGCGTTTGCCCAGCGCCCAAGGCTAGTGCGGGGCCCCGCCGCTTCCCACGGGGAAGGTGGCAGCCGCACCGGGCTCCAGGGACCCTTCCCCGGGCTTCCCTGAACTGCTGCTGCCACTCTTATCCCTCAAGTAGAAACCCTTGAGGAGACAGTTCACCTTCTTGGGCAAATGACCTACGTGCCTTTGGCCCTGAGCTCAGAGACCACCTCGGCCCGTCAGCCTCGGGCCGGGCTGCCAGGGGTTTTGGTTGAGTTCCTTTTAAAACTTTTCCCTTGGCTGCCCCCTCCCTCGCACTCGGCTCCGCACGAAGCATTAGCCAGCTGCCGGCTGGAACAGGCTCCCTGAAACCTAAGAGTTTGTTAGAGTAGGGATAGCCCATAACTAGCAATGGTCATGGCAGACATCCTCTAAACCCTGATTTGGGAGAGGTGAAATGGAGTTAGTGCTCATGCTGCCAACCTCCTGCGCTCTTGCCTTCACAATCCATTCAGCATTTGCCTACGTTGGGGCAATTTGATTTTGCAAGTACTAAAAGGAGGAAAAGTCACTTTGGCCAAGAGATCCTTCGCACACTGCCAACACCAGCCAAACCAAGGGCAGAGGGAGCACTACAGACTCTTGGTAACTACGAAGGCCTTTTTAGAGTCCTGGGGACTGTCACGTACCTTCAAGTGCACGGAGTGCTTTGTCTCGTCTCTGACAAGGCCAGGTCCTCTGTAGCTGCCTGTATCTTGCAGGTGCATGTCCAAGAACTGGATCCCAAGATCTCTTATTGTGATGGTGGTGGGGGTCACAGCAGATCTATGTATGGTTGTTTGTAAGGATGTTCCCATGACCATCTGGCTCTCCTTTGAGGACTTCCATAAACTCCTCCCTGTTCTCCTGGGGGCTTTCAGACAGCAACAGAACCACCTTCTTCCTAGTAAGGAAACAGCATTTATCAAGCAGGGCCAGCTAGCTCACCATGCAGAGTGGCCAGGGGGTGATGAATGTGTCTTGCATCCAAAAAGCCCGTTTCCAAAGATCTTTACACAAGCTGTGCTCAAGAACAGATATTACTTGGCCTTGCACTGCTGAAACAGATGGGGGCTCTGGGGTTAGATAGGCAAAGTGCTCCAGACTCTTTGGGGGACACCTGGTATCTAGTCTTGACTGATTCATACGTGGGAAAGGGAGTGGGCATGGCTCACCACAGACTTTTGGCTGGTTCAAAGATAGGGAAAGCAATTCAAAGAGTTTCAAATGTTTTTCCTCTGAGCAAAAGGATCACAGTTGAGAAAAGCTAAAGAACCAGTGCTATCACATCACAGCATACACTTATTTTATACAGGACAATGAAAGGCTTCTTCAGCAAGGCATTAGCTAGAAGCAACATTTCTATGGGGTAGTACCAGAACTCAGTACTAGATTCTTTAGATGGAAGATGCAAAAATGAAACCTCCAGAATACCCAGACGTCAAGTCAGTGGTGCTGCAGCGTGACGGGCTGCTTGGAAGTGACCTGAGGGATCCAGTGCTCCAGGCTGCACTGGAGCAAGTATAACAGATGGAAGAAGGCAGCAGCACCTGCACCATCCCACTGCAAAGAGCTACATTAACACTAAGGTTATACACATCTCATCATCTCACTGCTACCATGGGATGAAACAGGTGGTGTGGAGAAAAGGCCAAAACACATATCAGAGCTCAGCATCAGATGCCAAGCGCTCATCCACTAGTTAAGAGACTCTGCAACTGGAATCCTGGTGGGAGTGCTAGTTCTCTAAATGCTGCATAGAAGTAGTGACAGTTTTAGAAGTAGGCAACTGTCCCCCTTGGATGTTGCATAGACTAGAAATCCTCCAGATGAGCTGCTATCTACTTCTAGGAGTTACCTGGTTTTTTGACCAGTTATTACTTTTTTCTTTAAGCACAGTTGATCCAACTGCCAGACTGGCATTTAAAGAAAAAAACTTAACCCCTATGAAAATCCTCATTCTTGGCAAGACCTCATGCTATTCATGGTTGAAAATGGGAGCCCTTGGCATGGAGAAGGGATGCAAGGAATATCTGTCCATCCAGGGGCAGGTGTACAAGAGATTTTTGTCAGAGGAAGAGGGTGAACCAAAATGACACCTCAGTCCACAAGCCCACTTCCACTCATTTCCAGGTGCTGGCTTGTGGATGCAGCAAATGGGGAAATGAGCAAAGCAGCAGGGAGTGCTGGCATCCAACAATGTGAGAGGGTGGTCTATGTACATTAATTTTTTTATCCCTCACAGAACTGTGGGCTCCAAGACCTCATGCACATATACTATTTGGCAAGTTTATTTCAGTTGTACCATGTCCACAGAGCAGTGGCTCCTTCAAGCAATCAGTCTGTTGGGGGACAGGACAGGCACCTACAACACAGAAATTGTGACCCATCAGGAACACATGGTCTTCTTTCTTTCTGGTGACAGGCTGAGTGCATGAGATTTATTAAGGAGGTTTTGATTGCACTATTGCAAAGGCCTCAGTCAGGGATCTGGACCCTATTGCAAGCAGCTAATCTAAGCCTACAAATGCCAGAAACCACCATCTGCTAATGCTCTCCATACCTCTGCTTTGCCATTCATCATCTTCCTTGTTTTCCCATCCAGTCCCCATGATGCTCTCATATATGGCTTTGCTGACTTTGAAGCTTGTATTCCAGGCACATCTGCCTTCATTGACAGTTTGATGTGGCTTTCCTATGGATTTTGTTAGTTGGAGTTACCTGCTGGAAGCCAAAACATCCAGCATAGAGAGCATGAAAGTGTGACAGTGCATTATGTTTAATGAGGAGCAGAAGCTTTCACTCTTTGATAGGGTGCCTCCATAGAGTGGAACAGGAGGCTATATAAGAGTTTTGTCTGTGCATACCTTAAGATAGGAAGCGTGAAGCTGTGTCACTGCTCATCCTTTTCCCAGACTGTCAGCTGTTTGGTCAAGGATGGTCTTAATATGTGTAGCCCAATGAAGCTCTGATCCTGAGTGGGGACACTGGATGTTACGGTTCTGCATCATTCACAGTAGCAAGAAAGTCAAGACTCTTGCACAGAGTTCATGGGCAGGCGGTCACTTAGTCTGATCTCCAGCTAGGGAACCTCAATTTCTGCATTAAATCCAAATTGTTTGTCGTACCATTTCTTTTTAAGTCTTGATTTAATGACTTAAAATGATGGAAAATTGACCCCAATCCTAGGTAAGTTCCTCTAGTTAATTACCTTTATGATTAATTTGCTATTTATTTCTAGTCTGAATTTCTCTATTTTCAGCTTCCCCTATCACTGGAGCTTGTTATGCCTTTTTCTTCTAGATAAAAGATGTGGCTACTTAGAAATGGCCCTTCTAAGATCATGATCAAGTCACTGCTTACCCTTCTCTTGCATAAACTAAACAGAGCTTTTCTAGTCGCTATGCAGCAGATTTTCCAGATTTCAAATCCAAATTGTTTCCAGTTGGCCAACATCCTTTTCAAAGTGTTGACACCCAATTATCTCACTAATGTCCTATACAGAGGGAATACTCCTGCTTTACTCTTTTGTGAGATTCCCTCCTTATACATCTAAGGGTTGCATTTACTTTCTTAACTACAGCACAACTCTGGGTGCCCTCATCCAGCTGGTTCTCTTCCAATTCACTGCAATGTATCCTGGAGAGTAGGAACTCTTGAAGAGACAATTCACCTTCTTAGGCAAGTGACCTACATTCCTTTGTCTCTGATCTCAATGGTATAGAGAAGCGCGCAGGTTTCACTGAAGTACCTTGGAGAATGCAGATTTGAGATTTCCTCAAAATAAGCTTGTAGCTTCAGCTGTGTTAAAATCCATGTCGTCCAAACAAGCTTTTATAACTAAGCAACCAATCTCAATTGGTCTCTCGTCTATCTCCATAGATTGTCCCACATCAGTTTTTGTCATCTGGAAATTTTACCCAATCTTTGATACAGATATTAAATAACCTAGGCCAAGAACATATCCCCACAGGGCCCGCTAAAGTATATGCCACTGAATGTCCATTTGCACTTTTACAATTACTTTTTGTGATCAGATTTAAAAGCAATTAGGCATTGCTGTTCAGCATCCCCCTGCTAACTGCTGGAATAGAAAGCATTTCATTATCATAGTAAGATAAAAATACCTCTTCCTGCTTTTTTCTGAACATAGAACTGAAATCTGTTGAATACTTCTGCCATTACTATAACTACTAATTTTATGACAGTTGCATAGTACCAGACTTACACCATTGTTAGGATTTCTTTTTTTCACCAATATATTAAAAACATTTCTTCTTATTGTCCTTCACCACAATGGCCATACACTTATCATCAATACCCTCCCCTTGTGAATTGTCTGCATTCCAAACAGCTGATTTGTACTCATGGCTATCAGCTTCCCTGTTTTCTTTTCAGTTACTATATTTTCTTTTTTACTGCTGCCTTCACTTCCCCTTTAATCATAATGTCTTTCTTTTTTTTTTTTTTTTACTTTACTGCAAAGGAAGCTTTTGTAACTACAGAGGTGTGCTTTTGGGGTATCTAATAAAATATTCTTAAAAAATCCCTGCTTTTCCCAATTTTGTATAAATATTTCCCCCCACTCAGTTTTGTTCACAAATGTTTTTCACTTAAGGGAAAAAATACTCTTTTCAAGGATACGGATATGGGTGCAAGTATGTATTCTGATAACATTTTGATTGCCTGCAGTAAATGAAGTTAGATCCAGTTGCCTCTGAGTAACCATCAAGATTTAATTCAAAATATTTTTGCCTCAGACTAAAATATTACTCCAAGAATTTTTAAAATAAAGTTACTCCAAATAAATATTTGCTCACTTTGTTTCCCAAACCTGTTAGTGACATATATTCTTTGAACCCACTGTCACAGGTTTGAGAACACCTTGTTAAAACTTGTAAGTTTAGCCACCACCTTTCATTTCAGATGAGACACCGAAGCTTCTCAGGCTATAAAGGCTACTCAAGTATTCAAACACTAGGGGGGACATGCTTCAGCTAAGTATTATTTGGTAAGAGGTGTGTGTGGTGGGAGGGGTTTGTGTACATATATGCCTGAAGATAATACAATTCGATAATAGACGACCATAAGGCGTCGAGTGGGTAACGTAACTAGTAGGGTGAAAGTGCTAGACTTTAGGAAAGCTGATTTCAATGAACTCAGGCGATTAGTCAAGGACGCACTGCAGAGTAGGAGTTTTGAAGTGATGGGAGCCCAAGAAGGGTGGCTGTGCCTTAAGGAAATGATCCTTCAGGCACAAAGTGAGACGATCCCCGTGCGGGGTAAAAGAGGGAAAGGGGCCAGGAGGCTTCCCTGGCTGACCGCAGAAATCCAGGGCAGCCTAAGGGCCAAAAGGGAAGCACATAAAAAGTGGAAACAAGGAGAGATCACCAAAGACGAATATACCTCCTCTGCTCGTGCTTGTAGAGAGGCAGTTAGATGGGCCAAAGCTACCATGGAGCTGAGGATGGCAACCCAAGTAAAGGACAACAAGAAATTGTTTTTTAGATATATAGGGAGTAAAAGGAAGGCCCAGGGAAGAATAGGACCCCTGCTAAATGGGCATAAGCAATTGGTGACGGACAGGGGGGACAAGGCTGAACTCCTCAACGAGTTCTTTGCCTCAGTGTTCCTAAGCGAGGGGCATGACAAGTCTCTCACTGGGGTTGTAGAGAGGCAGCAGCAAGGCGCCAGACTACCATGCGTAGACCCTGAGATGGTGCAGAGTCACTTGGAAGAACTGGATGCCTTTAAGTCGGCAGGCCCGGATGAGCTCCATCCAAGGGTGCTGAAGGCACTGGCCGACATCATTGCAGAGCCACTAGCGGGAATATTTGAAAGCTCGTGG